TTCAATGACTGCAGTAGGATATGTAGCCCCAGCTAGGTGTTACTTTATAGGATGTGTAAAGTTAGACTTGTGTTCATGGAAATGTGTGTGTCACCTGTTATCTGGATTGATTAGGGTCTTTGATGATTCAATAAAATGTGGGGTGGAAACAGTATAGAAAGCAAACATAGATACCAGAGACACTGAGGGAGGAGAGTGGGAGGTGGCAGAGGGTAAGAGATAGGGAACCAAGGATGGGGGGAAAAAAGTGAAACATACAGAAAACAAGAAATGGAAGATCATTTGCTGACAATAACATGTTTGTTGATGTGCTTGATTGAGACAATATACAGTGTACTCTGGATGGAAAATCTCATTTTGTATGTTGTAATGATGTACAGTGAATGAATGCAAATAAATAAATTGAAATTAAAAAAAAAAAGAAAGACGTATTGGGAAACTATGCCACCAGTAAAATAATCTAAGGTCTCAGAAACAGGAAATAAGTTGCTTAGCAAGGGAACAGCTAGTTAATTTTAACAGAATATATTTGCTTTACATGGGGCCAGCAGGTGGTGTAATGGCTATGTTGCTGGACTCCCATGTAATCGACTGTGGTTTCAGTCCCAGAACCAGTGGTTTAAACTCATGCTGGCTTGTGTGCATGAGTGCCCAAGATCCCAAGAGGAGATTGGAGGAGAAGGGATTGCGGTGTGGCCACCCCCCCGGGGGGTGATTTCTTGCTTTCTGTCTCTCTCTCTCTTTCTGTCTTTCTCTTTCTGGTGAGTGCACGTGCTCTATAACAAAAGAAACCTCTCAAAAAAAAAAAATGCCTCTCAGAGGAGATGGTCATACCACAATCCCTTTTCCTCATTTTCCTCACACCCAGCATGAGTTTCAAGCCCCTGGGTCCTGGATTCAAACCACAATAGACTATGTGGGAGTCCAACAACTGTAACTGCTGCACCATCTGCTGACCTCTGTCTCCTCCCATAGTTCTAACTGGGATCACTGACTTTAATAGATACTTAAATGTGTACAGATCCTGTAATCCCCGAAAATGACTGTGGGAGACAGCAGTTTCCCTATTCGAGTCATGCCAAGTGATTCATTAGGCTGGCCTTGACTTGCAGCCAGTTTATGGATGGATGGTGGCAGAATATCCATCCTTGATGCTAAGGGTCTCAGCTATGAACAATTTAAATTTATAGTAAAGAAATAATCTTTGTTCAGAGACTTTTTCTAATTTTCACTAATTAACTTATGGAGTCAGAGGCAGTCATTGTGATACAGTGAAAGACTTCTTGTGCAAGTACAATATTATTGGATTTATTGGATGACTTTGTCATATACTGAGGGCATTTTTTTTCCCCAGTGTTACTTTTTCTTCTTCACGGATGTGCTACCTTTTCTTTTTTCACGAGTTTGCTTCCTGTCTTTTCATCATGAGATCTGTGTGAACTGTTGATCAGGACAAATTGTTCTTCTATAAAATTCACAAAACTTTGCATATTTTCTCTACATGGAAGAGAACCAATACTTGATAAACTAAAAGCCTGTGAACTTGATTTTCTTCTAGCTATGGAAAATGTTAAATACTTTAAGACGTGTGTGTGTGTATGTGTGTGTGTGTGTGTGTGTGTGTGTGTGTGTATTACACTGTTTGCACTATCCTGGCACAAAGAATTTTGTTCATGACTTGACATTTTATGGGCTCTAAAATTTATATAGCAGAGTATGGGTAGGCAGTTATACAATTGGTTATACTAATATAATTGAGTAGGAAGAAATAGTTAACATTTAAATACTGTTTTTTACTTCTTTTCTTTTCTTTCTTTTTTTTTGGAGATGTTTTTGCTACAGGGCGCCTGCGCTTGCCAGAAAGATAGAGAGAGACAGAGGGACAGAAAGTGAGAAATCACCCCTGCAGGGGGGATGGCCATGCAGCAATTCCTTCTCCTCCATTCTCCTCTCGGGATCTTGGGCACGCACACACAAGCGCCCGGCATGAGTTTAAGCCACCGGGTCTGGGACACGAACTGTGGTCGACTACATGGGAGTCCAGCGACATAGCCATTAAGTGAATTGCTGGTTCCTTAAATACTATTTTTAAGAATGTTTTTTCTTATGAAAATGAATCTTCTTCATTTATACATTGGTTTGGATGAGAGGTATGAAAATCTCTTCATTTTAAAATTAGGAATTTGAAAATTTTATTACTATATTTCATTCATGAAGTATTTACTGATTACCTTCCTCCCTGCTAAGTACTAGAGAATATTATATTGTGAGACTCCAGGAGTTTACATTCTTCCTAAGGACAGTAAAGTACAAATGAATTATTATAGTAGAGAGTAAGGTGTAATAAGATTCATAAAAAATGGAAATAAAATGCTATGGGAGAGGATCAAAGTGCTGAGCAATTCATTTTATTTTGAGAAGTCACAAAAAGTTTTTCATGAAGGTCATACTATTTGTTTCGAGCCATGAAAGGTAATTTGGATTTTTAACAGTGAAAGAGAGGAATGGTCATTTTATTAAGAGGAAGCAACATAGGCAAAGGCACTGCTGTAAGCGTGGAGGCCAGTTATGAGGAATCTAACACTTGGTGAAACACAGCTAGGATACAGGGAGGCTAGGTAGTGCTGAGTAATTAGAAAAGAAGCTCAAGGTTAGTATGTGGAAGACCTTGAATGCCAGGTGGAAGAATATGGATTTTACAGCGTAAGTAATTAGAAGGCTTCTTAAGTATGTGGGCACGTCAGAAACACGTGTGTTATCTTTTGAAAGGTAACTCTAGTGGCAGTGTGGCAGCTAGGTTAACAGATGGGGGCATGGAGGGCAGTCATCCTTACTGCTAGTGATCTGATTCTTCTTCCTGAAATAAAGAGAAAAGAGGAAAACTTGACTAGTTTTTGGAACTGCCATCTTGAAGTCCTGCACTCAGAATATATCTCAGTAGACATGCTGCTGAAACAGAGGCATCCAAGATAGACAGGCCTGATTTTGCATTTGTTTTCTGTTAAGTACTATGTTTAAGACTATGCAGGTCTGTCTATAGGACTTTCAGGATTTTAGTGTATATGTGTAATCTACAGAGGATATATGGGCTTGCTAGAGAGAGACAGAAGGGGGAAGGGAAAGTATCCCCAGTGGAGTGTGGTCATACTGCAAAACTCTTCCATTTTTCCATCCCACTATTTTTAGGGCACGTGTGCACCTGCCATGTTTTTCTAGCTGCTGTGACTGGGATTCGAACTGTGGTTGGCCACGTGAAATTTGGCTTCCTTAATCACTAGGTTATGAATTCATTCCAGAGTTTTCTCACATATAAAATGCAGCTACTTTACAGAGATTATGTGAAGATTTGGTGACATATGGTCTGAAAAGACATTCTAGAACTTAAAAGCATGATAGAAATACTCTTTTAAGGATCTCATCCATTGTCAGTTTCTTGACGTTTGTTTTGGTGTCTTTTATCAACACAATAAGCTTAATACTCACTGTACATAAAGTACAGGATAATTACTTAAATACATTTTGAATTAAATTAATTAAGTATCTGGCTCACATCCATAAAATCAATGAGGCTGCACAAAATAAGCTGCAAATGCATTTACATTCAGGATCATTGCAAGGCTGATTTGTTCACCTCCACTCCCTATGCTTTTCTTAGAACATCAATAAGTATGTATTACCATATGTAAAATTTTGTTTTTCATTTATACTGGCAATGAACATCTAGAATTTAGGAAACCAAGATATTCTTTTTTATGTTCACCAAAGATGAATATTAAACATAATGATAAGAGACTACTGTGTGCTACTTCAGTTACATTTATTTTTCTTTGATTAACAGAAATATTGATTCTTCAGAGAAGTGGCTCACATTCAACTTGACAATGACCTAAAATAAATGATAGACAGTATGATTATTAATCCTAATTGATCATTTTTTTTGGCAACTTTTTTTTTCAGTTTTTGCCATAGGGTGCATGCGCTCACTAGAGAGACAGAGAGAGGCAGTGAGAGGGAAAGTGAGAAATCAGGGGAGATGGCCACTCACAATCCCTTCTCCTCTATTCTCCCCTCAGGATTTTGGGCAAGCATGCACATGCAGTTGGAATGATTTTCAAGCCTCCAGGTCTGGAAACCTTTAAATTTTCTTATCTTAATTACAAATATTGGCTTAAAAGTATTATCTAGTTTGAGGACTATGCAATTTTCTGCTCAAGAAGACTGAATATTTTAGTAAAGAATGAAGAGTCCTTTAGTAGCAGGTATTAGTTGAAAGATTTTTGATTCCTAAAACCTCTAGGTTCTAATTTAATCTCTAGTATCATTTACACTCCCTCAATGCATCCAGCTATTTAACAGGCCAGCCACTGTTTTTGATATGATAAGATAATAGGACCCAGCTTACAGATAGAACATGCAACTTTTGGGATTTTGTTATCATGCAATATTCTGAAGCTATATTTAGGGTCTTAGCATTAATATTAGAAAAAATACATGATTTTCAATGGGATGGGCTCAAGTCCTCCCTCGGACTCCAGATTCATAATTTCATTCATTATGATTTCCACTTGGTTAAAGTTTTTCCTTATTTAGCCCTTGTATTAAGTCCAAAATGAACATATTGATCAAAATACAAAAATGTAAACATATTCTGTAAAAATATTTGAACAGGAAAGGGCTTGTTTCTATTATAAAATAGAAAATAAATTTAAACTGCTATGCTTGTTGGATCATAGAACAGAAATGTCTGCACTTCTAAGTGTAGACCCCAACAATTTCTACCAAGGAAAAACATTGAATTCAATTGGAAATTAATGGGTCTAACTAGGAAAGCTGTAACATTTTCCCCATGAAATGATGAACTTTAATCCACAAATAAGAAGCTTAAAACAAAACAAAATAAAACAAAACAAAATAAAACAGAACAAAAAACAGAACAAAGCATGGTTTTACTTTGTATACTTACCACTTATTTCATGGTAAGTTGCACTATGACCTTTCTTTCTTATTTACTTTTCATTACGAGAGAGAGGTGTAGGTGCAGACACAGGAATTGGAAAAGGATAAGGGTATCTAAACCATGGATATCTTTGACAGATTCGTAGACATGAGTCAAATGGGAATCGATAAGGAGGGTCAAAAAACTGTGGTAATTCATTGCTGTCACTCAGCTGTTGAAACAAAGAAATCCAAAGGTTTGTTTTACTCTTTACAAAGAAGAGAAATAAAACAGTTATTTTATCATGTGGGTCTTCATTTTTAAGAATAAGATTTTGAAGCTCTGAAATCATTTACTCTTTCTACAAATACTATAAACATGAATTTGATTAATTAGATTACTTTAGAAAATTATTTAGAGATAACCACGTTCCTGTATCTTCTTCAAAGCTATTTTTTTAAATGAAAATTACCTTTTTTTATTTTTAAAAGAGATTTTGTTATAAGCCTTATGTACTTGCCAGAGAGACAAAAGAGTAATCACCTCCCAAGGGCAATTGCCATGCCACAGTCCTGTCTCCTCCATTCTCCTTTTAGGATTTTGAGCAAGAATGCTCATGCACCTGTCATGAGTTTTAAGTTGCTTGGTCCAGGACTTGAAATGTGGTTGAAAACGTGGGAGTCCTGAGACATAACCATTACGCAATCTGCTGGTCCCAATAATCACTTCTATATGGCCAAGATGGGGGTGTTATAGGGCCATGGAATGTCTCCCTTCACCTTCATATAAGATCTTTACTCAAATCATGTATTTTAATTTCTTTCTCTCTTTTCATATCTCTTTTCTTTCTTTCCTTTCTTTCTCTCCATCATGTATTCATATCCCTATCAATTTCTGTATCCTTAACACTCCAATTGCAGTGTTTGCCACAAAACCATGTTCTTGAAATAACAGGATTTCCATCAATATACACACATCTTTGAAAAAGGTTTTCTTCTTCAATTTTTTTTTCTTAAACATTTCTGATTAACTGTTTAGACCAAAACAATCCTTTAGTGAATTCACCACTGGGAGGATCATTCCAAGTTGTTCCACATCTTTCAATCTCAAGTTTTATTTTACTTTTTCCTTCTTTGGAATGCACTCAGTGAAATTAAAGCAGAATGGAGGCAGAAGCAGTTATCAGCTTATATTAGGCAAGATAATTAGAGTAAAAATTATTATAAGTTGGTTCATCACAGAGTGATTCAAGTTTTATTGCAAGTCTCACTGTTATATGAGGTGCAGGAATAATTCCGTTTGTAACAAACAAAACTCAAATTCCTGAAATTTATACCTCTGTTAAGCATTAATACCCCAATTTCTCCAAGAATCTCTCTAGAGATTGGGGGGGTTAGATCAATGACTATCTTTTTAAAAATTTACTTTAAAAATTTACCTTTATTCACTATACATCTTTACAGTGTACAGTATGATTTTTCCTAGCATGAATATAGTACATATTAGTCAAGTCAAAGAAAATGACTATCTTTAACCACATTTATGAAATATTTCACATGGAAAGCTATATGTAAAGAAGAAGAAAAATAACTTACACTTCGTTTTTCTCGTTCTTGGTCTTGGTCTTGAGGGACCTAGAGAACAAACAGGAAACAAGTAAATCCATGCTATGAAAACACACTAAGAAAACATACATGTGCTTGAGAGAAATGAGGCGGCTATCTACTACCCAATAGTGTTTCATAGTTTTTTGTTTGTATGCTTGTTTGTTTTTTTGCTGTGGTGGGGAGTGAGAAATCTCCAATCAGTGGCAATGACCACGCCCAATCCCTTCTCCGTTCTTGTCTCAGTATTCTGAGCATACACACACATGTGCCCAGCATGATTTTCAAGCTGCCAGGTCCAGGACTCAAACCACACAGTCAACTATGTGAGATCGTACTGCTTTAATCGCCATGTCCCATGCAGGCCTCTGTATCCATTTTTTAAAAATCCAGGATTTGATTGTCCAGAAAATATTGGAGGAGGTTTTTTTTGTTTTTGTTTTTGTTTTTTTTTTCTGAAAAGTTATTATTTGTGGTCTTAAATGGCACAAATTTACTCTACCAAAGCTATGTGTAATTTAATTATGCACTGAACAATATATGAGTTATATTTTCTGGAAGATAATGCTGAAGAGTCAGATGTTAGGTATCTGAAAAAATACAGTATGATGTGTGGAGGGGGGGAGACCCTAAGATACATTGATTAGAACAAAAACACATAATATTTTGAAATGTAGAAATGGATACTTACTTGGAAACCAGCAGTTATTGCCAAGATGGCTGTGATCAGTAGAAGAACTTTCATCTTTAGGAATATCCTAGAAGTCAGCAGAAAGGCCAACGTTAACATAAATTCATATTATATAACTAATAGCTCGTTGACTTTGGACAAGTTATTTAAAATCCTAGGGCATCAATTTATCAATGAAAAACACTGCTTTTAGGTAAAAGCAGAGGTGCTTTGCAATTTTAACTGTATTACATCAATTTTTATTTTTTATATTTTTATAATTTGCTATGAGACACATGTGCTTCCAGAGAGAGACAGAGTGAGAGAGAAGTGAGAAAGTACCCTCTAGGGGAGATGACTATGCTTCAATCTTTTCTTCTCCATTCTCCTCTCAGCATTTCATACATACACACACATGCACCTGACATGCTTTTCAAGCCAGATCTCAAAGTGTGCAGTTGCTTGGAATCCAGCCACCTTCACCACCACACCAACAGCTGGCTTCATCAATTCTTATAAAAATAAAAACTCACATGTTATTTAAGAATGAAATGCTCTGTACTTGATAATAAAAATGTTTCTGAAAAGAAATAATATTTTAATTTATGCAGAGAAGGTTAATGTGGAATAGCCAATTATTTAGTGAACTTGGCAACTTTAAAATAGTGTTCCATACAATGTTATCCATAAAATTAATTTAAGTGACAGAATTATTTTCTTTGACTCCCGGCTCAAAAACCCATGTTGTTTTAAATAATCTATTTTGGACATATAGGACATTTGCCAGGCATTTTGTTCTATTTTAATTTCCATTTTTAAATTGCTTATCTTATTATACATTTTGTTTTAATGTATCAGTTACAATATTTATAACAAATATTTGAGAAAACTGAGCTAAATTAAAGATTTAATCAATGATTATTACATTATGTAACAGAGTAGACAATAAAACATAGGACATTTTGCATTGAAAAGTATTTTGTCACTAATAACAACAAGCATATGTGTATAATTTGGTTTCAAACATTAATGGACAACTTTTTCTATGGGATGGCGCTATGTTTGAATGTGTTCCAAGTTCATATGTTAGAAATTTAATCCACTGTGAAATAGTGTTGACAGATAAGAGGTGATTAGGGTATGAGGGCTTGGTCTTCGTGAATGGACAAATGTCATTTTAGGAGTGGATTTCTAACTAATGGATGAGAGTGGCCCCCTTCCCTTTTGTTTCTCTGACTGTGTGATGCCTTCTACATGTTATGGTGTAGCAAGAAGACCATAATTAGAAGTTGCCCCTTGATCTTGATCTTCTTGCCTCCAGAACTATGAGCCACATAAACCAATGTTTATAAATTATCCAGTCTGTGTTACTCTGTAATAGCAGCCCAAAGGAACTAAGACAGTTGGTATCATTACTCATTAATCCTCTTTGTCTGGTATGGATGAAGTAGATGGTAAAGACTGTATAAGGGAATTTGGGAAAGGCAATAAAGTTGAAGAGAGGAGTTGACTAGAAACATTTCTGAAGTCGTCTCATATTTATTCATGTATTAATTCACAAAGTATTTCTCAGTAACTGATTAAATGTCAGATATTATTCTAGGTGTTGAAAATACATAGCAGTTAAGAAAGTCCTAGTTTTATGTGTCTTATTAAGCACACTGTTACAGTGTTATAGGTCAATACAAGTTTTCTGATTATTTAATGTTTCTGTTGAAAATATAAATTTTTCATATTATTAATATGATTTTTAGGGTGACTCTGAGGCAATTAATGGAGATTCTAAAGAGAATTCATTTACTTCTTGATGTCTCCTATATGCTGATATAAGACAGAAGAATAAAATGTAAAAAAATGTAGCAAAATTTTAAACTCTGTCTTTATTTTTGATCATATGGATCAAAAATTGAATTAGCATTTTAGAAAATAACATGATATAATAATTTTGACAAGACATGAATTAAAATTCTGGTCAACTTCATAATTCTATAGGCAGATTAGAGTAGCATAGAAAATTAGAAGAAAAACTCTCACATACATATGTATACCACACACACACACACACAAACACACACACACACAACTCCTCACTTACACACACACATAGCCTACTTTCTATGTGCAAAGCATTATGTGTGGCACTGTCAGGGAGATGATGATAAAGCATTTCTTCCAAATGGGAGATAGCTAGGGAAGACAGATATACATCTTTCAAAAATAAAGTTTGATAAATACTATGAATAGAAATAGCAAAATATTGACAGCATATGGAAGAAGAAATATACATTGAGGTAATGGTTTTGGAAAGACTAGAATTAAAACAGGGCTTTACAATAGAACAGTTTTTAACTGTATTTCAAGGATGTTTCGAAACCACATGAAGCAAAGAAGTACATAAACCAGATCACATGCTTTCCAGGTCTTGTCTTGTAGGGAGGACACAACATAATTCCCACCTCCTTTATTATCTAAAACTGTGATACTCATAGTAGTAAATTGCTGTGCACAAGAGAATAAATGATGTTTTGGATAAATTAGATGTATCTTTCTGAGATGATTTCCTGAAAGGTTTACAGGAAAAAAATCTTAAGTAATTTTAATGTAAAATCCACATGACATGTTGTAGAATAGAATACACATGCTCTATCTTAAAGATAAATTGGCTCTTGTTCATACTTTAGAGAATCTCTAGCAGAATTGTTCTTTTTCTTTGCTGACTTTACATTCATACATTTCAAAATGGTGAGCCCGAGGCTCAATCTGCAATCTATCCCTATAAAATTTATTTATAATTACTCTAAAATATACATCTGCTATGGCAGCATAGTTATTTTAAGAGAATTTTTGCAAGCAGAAATACTGAAAAATTGATTTTCCAAATAATGAGTTTACAAACTAATTCAAAAGATAAATGGACAGTTTAAAGAAACATGTATATAATATACATAATGTATATTGCACATATATATGTAAGATGTATAATCTTAATTTATAATGTTGTTTAAGGTTTATCTTACCTCAGACTCTTCTCTCAGCTCTTTCTCTCTGATGCTGTTAAGAGAAATGGTGATTGGCCCTAGTATATTACAGCTAATTTATACACTCAAAAGTACAATGGAATGAAGTCTGTGGCTTGATGGCCTCTCCCCTGGGATCAGTTACTCAGTTGAATCATTGACTGTCACAATGTGTTGAAATTGGGGAATAACCAATGTTTAGTTTCACAGAAACTTTGGCTGAGTGGCTACCAAATGTATCACTTTGTGGTTTTCTTAAATTTTGTGTATCTTGCATATTTGAAGCTTATCACTTTGCATAATGTTGCTTCATGCTCTTATTTTAAAGATATTTTCCTTTAATTAGCATACTCTAAAGGATATTTGTAAGTATCCTATTGGTATAGATTATAATCTATTGGAAAGCATGTTTGGTAGTGATAGAATTTTAAGAAAGAAATTTTTAAATGTTAATGATGGGATCATTCTTTTTTCAGTGCTTAGATTTTAGTGATCAAGTTTAGAGCTTTACAAATCAGTGAACCATATTGTGGAGCATCAGAGCATCTTGACAACCTTATAGAAGATTGTACTCTGTTTTTTAAATGAAAGATGCATTTGGGCTGGCCCTGCAATCGAGTGGTTAACGGAGTCAGAGCCCATATGGCTAGTGCCAGTTTGAACCCTGCCCCTAGCTGCTTGAAAATCTTGCCAGGTGTGTGTGCATGTGTGCTCTAAATCTCAACAGAATAAAGAACAGTAGGGATTGTGTTGTTACCATGCCCTATTGTGACATTCTGTCTCTCTCTCCATCTCTTTCTGAGCATTTAAAAAATGCAGTTAATACAACAGGAAGAATACACTTGCCAAGTGTTGGACTAAAAACCAGAAAACTCATGAACTTTAAAATGTATGCTACATTGTATATGCTACAGGCATAAATCATAAAACTTGGGGTTTACCACTCACTAGAAAGTTCTCAAGAATATTGCATCCTGGAGTACAATTTCTATTTCAATAGAGGTTATATTATTCAAATGATAATAGTGCATCAAAGTCTCTTTTATCTTTCTAGGAATCAGTTCTCAAAAAACTCAAGAAAATAGTAATAGCTAACAATTTGTGATGACTTCATGTGCCTAAAAACAAATCTAAGAACTTTCTATGTATTAAATCATGTAGTTCTCAAAACAATCAAGCTAAGAGGAAAGTACTATTATCTATACCATCTCATTTTACATATAAAGAGACTAAGAAGTAGAGAATGTTAGCAATCACGTTACAATATTATAACAAGTACTCTGGCACAGATGATATTGAACACCAGCAATTTTTAAAAAAAAATCCACACTAAATTTATGTCATAGGACACAAATGCTTGCCAGAGAGACAGAAAGTGATGTCACACCCCCCACCCCCCCCAGGAGGAAGGCCATGCCGCAATCCCTTCTCCATTCTCCTCTCAGGATCTTGGGCATGCAAGTACTCCCTCCTGTTGTGAATTTTAAGCCACTGGGTCAGGGACTTGAACTGTGGTCGACTACGTGGGAGTCCAGCAATGTAACCACTATGCCATTGGCTGGTCCCAAAATCCACACTCTTAAACTAGTGTTTTATACTGTTATGAGCAGATTAGAAAATTTGCAGAAACCTAGAAAGACATTAAACTTTATCTGTAATTAACATTTATCCTTATTTTATTAATATAAGAAAACTACTTGAATTAGAAATCTAATTTAGTAAATCTAGTACATAATTATATATTTGTTTTCATTTTGACCTAAAAATCTCAAAGTAGATTTTTCCAGGGCTAGGGTTGAGTATAAATGTGTGTGTGTGTGCACGTGCGCGTGCATGCACACGTATGTGCAACATATTATCTACTATTTAATTGGTTTCAATTTCTTCTGTTTACCTTAAATTGCCCTAACAAAAATAGCCTATTGCCTCCTAATTATAAAAGTCATAAATATTTTTCTGTCTTTATGTTATTTCACCTCTTTTGGCGTTTAATTTTGGTGACCATTCTCATCTATAACTCTATTTTTCTTTTGATTGGCTTATTTTTAAAAATAATTATTTTATTTATCTTTATTTATGTATTTACTTATTTATTTTTAATTTGACCAGAGAGGGGTAGAGTAAGAGATAGAGAGGGTAAGTGAGAAAGCAAGCTGCTAGGTTCAGGACTTTGAACTGTGGTCAGCCGTGTGGGAGTTCAGCGTCCATAACCATCACACCACCTGCCGTCCCCTCATTGGCTTCTTAAAACCACTTTCCTCACATTCTTTTATTTTTTTAATGGCAACTTTAAGTATTATTGACTAACTTTTCCCCTCAACTAATTATACTTCTTACTTTAGTCTTCACTTGCTCTGAATAATACAATCTACTTCTGACTCCCTAATCTATGCTGTTAGTTAAAGCATTTCTTCCATTACCCAGAGCATTTTATCCAATTGCATTTAGAAGTCTGATGGCTACATCAAACCCAACCTGTTCAAAATGGAATTTATTACTTTTCCTATAAATTCGTGCTTCACTGTTATTTAATTTCTCAGCCAATTGTCATTAATCACTTAGTAATCCATAAAATAAATTCAAGACTCTATTCTTCCCTTGTGTTTCTCTCTCTCTCTCTTTTATTGAAGGATTTTTGTCACAGGGTGCAAAAGACAAAGAGAGAAAGTGAGAAATTACTCTCCTCGGGAATGGCTATGCTGAAATCCCTTCTACTCTATTCTCTTCCTGGGATTTTGGGCATGCATGAGTCGGGGACTCGAACTGCAGTTGACCATGTGGGAGTCCAATGCCTTAACCACTATACCATCTGCTGGCTCCTCCTTGTGCTTCCCTTTTACATCAAGTGGTCATTAATTTTTCCTTTCTTATGCAGTCCTGGAATCTCTATTCCATTCTCATTTCTATTTCCGTAGTTTAGTTCTTCATTTTCTTCTTGATTTTTACAGTAGCATTTTCTCTTTTTTTGAGAGAGAGAGTGTTTTGCTATAGGGTGTGGGTGCTCACCAGAGAGACAGAGATAGAAGGAGAGGAAAAGTGAGGAATTACACCACCCCTCAGTGGATATGGCCACACCACAATCCCTTCTCCATTTTCCTTTCAGGATTTTGGGCACACACGCAGACATATCTGGTATGAGTTTCAAGCTGCTGTATCTGGGACTTGAACCACAGTTGACCACATGTGAGTCCAGTGCCTTAATTACTATACAACCAACTGGTCCCTACAGAGCATCTTAGATTCTTTGTGTCTAGTATTTTCTTTCTGCAGTCCATCTTCTCGGTCACACATAGTGATCCTTCTATAATGACATTCAAAGCTTTAAAAGTGGAATCTGTAAAAAAAAAATGCTTTGCATGTCATAACTCAGTGCATGTGCATGTGTGCACATGTGTTTGTGCACATGCAACCAAGACTAGGGTTTTATGAAATAGCTCTTGTCTTGCTACATGAGGAACATGATGGCATTTTCTGTTCTATTTTCTATTCCATTCTGTTCTATGCCAATCTTTTCTATCTTTTCTCACTCTTTTCTGACTTATTTATTTTAATTATATTAGTGATCCAAAAATTTATTGCATAATGAAAACACGAAGATTTAGAAAGTGGATGCTAAGAATTAGCTAATCTAGGTGAGGTGTAGGGATTTATTCAGTTGTGTATATTTATTTGAATCCTTAAATTTTTAAAAAAATAAGATATTGGGAAAAATACTTTCTGAAATGTTTTCTTGATTATTAGGTTGTAAGCTCCTTTAGTGAGAGGATAATGCATTTTTAATTCTTAGGTGCCCAATACCTGGGTAATCAATGAACATTTATTATAAAATAGTATGCAGTTGACTAATTCCTAATATACTTGGAAAAACTGAGGAGAGCAAGAAATTGATTTATGGAGAGAATGAAAAGATCAGAGGAGCTTGTCCTGTAGAGTGGTGGTTAGGTGCTTTGCAGAGAAAGCTAGATCTCACGTAACTGATTAGGGTTTAAGTCCTGATTCTGCCCGCTTGAAAAATACATTGGGGAAATAAGCATTTATGCCCAGGATCTGGATGTGATAGAGAATTGGAGAAAGAGGGACTTAGCCTGACCAAGACCAACTCTAAAAAGCCAAAATTATAGCTTCTTAGACAATACTTGATGGTTGTGTAGAATTAAACAACCAGATCATTAACCAGTAAGAATAATACTCCCAGCTGATACTATTGGGTCATGAGGAAAGTCATGACACATTTTTGCAGAGAAAAACAGAAAAATATGTCATGACTTTCCAGATGACCTAATACTTGCTTTCAAAATTACCCTACTTATATTTAGATTCTATTGCCATATTAAGCCCCTATCTAATTCCACTTGGATAGAGGGACATATACGTTCATGCCCCGGATCTGGGTGGGATGGAGAATTGGAGGAAAAACAACTTGGCCTGATTAAGGGCTGACCAGCCCCATTAATGAGGTTCTCTCTCTCATGCACCCATTTACCCTCTGGGATGCATACATGAATAAATAATCAGAGGTCTCTAACCCAAAAAAGAGAAAGACTGATTGGCATGACAAATTAAATTTTCCCATAATGGAGTTCACCATTAAGTTTTGTAGTTCACCATCAAGTTTTGCATCTGCACAAAACTTTCTGCTGCTGTTGATGATATAATTTTGCACTAATAGATTTAAAAATTACTTAGTATGGCAATATGTTACATTGTTGACACCGAATTAAAGTGTGGAAAACGCTCAGTTACATTTTAAAAGTGGTTATAATTTTTAGTAATTAGGCTGGATACTTATTCATGTGCAAACATGTAGGCAAACCATGTGACTCAGGTGTTTCCATACCTTTGTGTGTAACTTTTTTTTTTGCCATGGGGTACTTGGAGAGAAACAGAGGGAAAGTGAGAAATCATCCTCTGGGGGGATGGCCACAAAACACTTTCTTCTCCTCCATTCTTTCAAGATTCTGGGCACATCCTCAGTGTGAGTTTCAAATGGCCATGTCTGGGACTTGAATTCATGTAACCTATGCCATGGTCTTTGAAATACTTAATTTTATGGGCCAGGTGGTTGAGGCCCTGGACTCCCACATGACCAAC